TTATGTGAAACATTTGCTTGACCAGTTTAGTAGCACTGCCCAAAAATGGGTTAAACTCTTCTGCTTGCTTCCATGGCTCAGGCCAGCTAGTGTGAGTTGCACTGGAACCAGTGTGCCAGGCTGTCAGGACACAGAGTGCTCAGAAGGCTTGTGGACAAGACAAGAAGACAGAAAGGATAACAGGACACGTTCCTTAATTGCCAAGAGAAAAAAAAGTTTGAAGGAGATTATGTTTCCTCTTAAGTTTTCATCCGAATTTTAAAAAATAGTAGCAAAAGACACCAAGTTTTCAGGTAACTAAGATCTTTCAATAAACTTGAGCCTCAAAAGACACACAATATATCTGCATGCTGTATTTCAGTTTTCCTATTGGATTCTGTACCATTCACTTGAAGATTAACAGTAGTTCCAAAGTCAGTCTATTTTGAATTATTTAAACATAACACCTGTATTGTTTAGTAGTTAGAAATGGATTATTTTTCATATTTCAGACTATTTGCACTGAAGTAGTTACAATTTAAGGGGGTGACAATATAGAATTAAAATAAGCATATATAAACAAATATTTTAAGCTTGAAAAGGACAAAACATTAAAAAGGAGAAAACAATGGTAACAGGACACTAGCAGGCTAATTTTCCCTGTGTGCCCTGAAAAAGACTAAAAAGAAAATTCCAAAGCTAACAGAAGGAAAAAGGCATTGACAGGGATGCACTTGTTCAGCTTTGCAACAGACAGTGAATCCTACAGACACAGAGTGCCCCCTGTGGGACTTCAGCTTATTTAAGTGCACATGAAGTAACCACAGGAGAAGTTCAGGTACCACTGCTGCCATCACACAGCAAGTGATCCCCAAGCCTGTCAGCCCAGCTCAGTGTGATGTGGCTTAGAAAGCCACACCTTGCTGATGTGACAGTAATGTGCTGCTGCTTTGTGGCACTGGCAACAAACCCAAAGGGGTTTCAAACTATGGAGACAGCTGTTCATCTGCTCTAGGGTACTGCTCTTATTCCATATGCATATCCATAACTTCTTTAAAGACCAGGAAATTCCTTAATTTCCAAGAAGACAGGTACAGATGAGCCAACAAGTTATTGTTGGATGGACACTGATACATTCTTTTTTTTTTTAGTTCTGTTCACCATGGGTGTACACAACCTGAAGTATTTTTGTTTGGTTAAACTGTTTGCAGGGCTTGAAATTACCTCACACCTCATTTTGGATCAACTGATTTTACTTTTCTGGCAAATAAACTGTGTCAATTAATCAGTTTCTTTGGATTACTTTCAACTTCAGCTTCATACTCACACCTCCAGACAATGCTGCTTTATTGCTGGAAAGATGAACTTTTCACAAGATAAACAACCTCACATTTCACTGCCTTCATTTTTAGTTGTGAGTGGTCATGTGCAGGCCTTTGTATTCTCTCTTATCTGAGAGCCAGAAAATGAAGATGTGGACTTCTCCATCTACCAAATATTTTAAAATCCTATCATGCAGGAAAACTGTAGCAGAGATGTGGGTGAAGAGTCTTCCTGCATGGACCTGCCTAGGCTGGCATCTCATTTTTATGAGTGGCCCTCTGTAGCTCTCAGAAGCCTTCCAGCTCTGAGATGAAGAAAGGAGGGCACACAATAAACAGCCTCACTGAGCTACACAAACCTGGTTCATTTCTGATCACTGCCTCCACTCTGTATCAAAGAAAAACTATCTGTGGGATGAACTCATGACATTAAAAACTACTGTGATAAATACTCAAAAGACTACTCATGTACAGTCAGACAAGAAACCAAAAGATGTTTTCTGACAGCTTGATTTTGAAACAAATTATTTTCTGTGATAACAATTAATTCATCTGCAATATTTTGATTATTTTTCAAGAAACAAGAGGACAGTAAATTATTCTCAGAGAAGTAATAATCCTTCTGTTGTGAGCCAGCAGGATGAAAGATTCAACTCTGAAGCGCCAACTCTGTTATGTAAGTCTTCATACCTTGAATTATAGGGCTAGCAGCAATTGCAATTAGCAGGAGAAGGCATAATTCAGGAAAGGGCTATTGGATCATTTTCCAGGTCTGAAAGAACACCTTGAGAATGCCCCAGTTGGGACTTTTCAACCCTGAAGCACATGACTAGGAAGACCCTTCTGGTCCTTCTGACCATAACAAAAGGCCTGTCCAGTAAGAGAACCATGCAGACACAGAGTCTGTTCCCCTTCCCTGTAAGTGCAGCATCCACTGCTGCAGATTTGGCAACTGCAGGAGCTCGGCCTCAGATTAGACTGTTTGTGCTTGGCTATTTTCACACACTGCCAAAATTTGCTGACAACACCAGGGGGAAAAAAAAAAGAAAGTAAAACTGGTGATTTTCAACAGTTTATAACTCAGCTCAGCCTAAGCAGGTTTTTATGGGACAAAGAACAGAGATTTCTCTGTAGACAGCACTTTATTCCTGCCTAATTTAAAAGATTTGCTGTGAATGATGGAAACATTAGAACTTCTTAAAGAAAACATAACAAAACAAAAATCCTAGCAGTTCACTAGTATTTCTCTACAGTAGATCAAGTTTGGTGATATAAATAGAGACCATTATCTGCCTCTCAGAATTATTTGCAATAAAGTTTTTTTAAAGAAAATGAAAATATTAAACTTAAAGGAAGAGAGCTTCAAAATACATAGTATTTCTTCAAGGAGTGAAATTTCTTGCATGGAATATTTCACACTTGAACTATTCTAGTACCACACTATTCCCTAAAGAGTGTGAAATGATCTTCTCAGGGTTACAGAGTCAGTAGTAAACACAAGTTCTACTCTAAAACCCAGTATTTTAAACATGTATTTTCACTAGCATTATATCTAACAACTTCCTATTAAAACCCAGAGGTAACTTTCTGGAGTCCCCTTGTTGCTTTAACACTTTCTTTCACTCCATATCTGGAATCTCCTAAAGCAGCATTTCCTAAATTATTTTTTCTTGTCTGCTCCCCAGCCCCATTTGCTGACTGCAGGGCCTAGGTTGTTAAATCTACACCCCTAACAAATCTCAAATTTCATCAATGCTGGTTTTGAGCACCTCAAACTTTCCTACTGAAACATGCCCTAGAACATAGGAAACAATATTGCTTCACCCCTTTGAATACTATTTGTACAACAACTATTTTTCCTCCATAAGACCTCAAAAAGCAGCTAATTGCTTCACAAAACTGCCCACTCATTCAATTACTGTTATTTTTCAGTTGAAATAGTAGCAAATCCATCAACAACATGAGAAACTTTTTGCAAAACTAGAAAACAAATGAGTGCTTTTCATAAAAGACATAGGCTGGGAATGCAGAGTAACAAAGAATATACTTTTTACATATAAAGTAAGATATTTAATTGACTGGGAGTCCTCAGTAGAGACTTGTTTGCAGCAGAGCCCCATGGTGAGGGGGAGTTTTTGAAGTTTGGATGCCTTTGGCAGCTTTATAGAACTTTAAGACAGACCAGCTATGACTAAAACATGCTCAGCTAGTTAACTATACAAACGTAATGCTTTTTCCATCCTTCTCTCCATGTGCTGACAGCATTACCATTCTCTCCAGTTCTTCTTCCTTCTGAGGTACAATGGATCTACCAGTTCATGCAGTACCTGATACCACATTTCAGTACAAAAACCTTCCAACAATAACTTACACAGGTAAGAGAGGTCATCATTTAGAAGTGAGCAGTTATATTAAAGGATCTACACAATTCCAAATACATTTCAGGATATGCAGTACACTGTGCGTAGATTTTAATGAGAAGGTTTGGCAGAGCAGTTTGGCAGAAGAAAGTACTCTCAAGTGATTGGAAATGGGATACATCTCCAGTTGCTTTGGATTCCCACATCACCTAAAGAGCTATTCTTCCCATCCCCCCATACAGCAACTCTCAAGGCAGTCAAATTTATAGCTCAATAAATTTTTTTATTAAAAATAAAAAGTGTGGCTTTTAAGTACTGCAGTCTTCCAACATCCTTATGCCAGGTCTAGATCAAACTGTTGTAGCTGAATATGAAGCTGGGGAGGCTTGGCCTACTTTATACAGCAGTTCTAAGTTAAAGTTTCGAGATCTAAGCCACCTCTTTCCATTTTGTAACAGCTGTTTTTCTATCCTTTCATAAAAAAAAAAAAAAAAGGAAAGGAAAGAGACCAGTGTAGAATAGTTAAATAAATAAATAATGGCTCACAAAACCACAGTGGAGGAACCACTGCTAGTCCTGCCAATAAAAATGTTCCTTCTCTTCAGGGCTGGCTAAACAACTGAAAGTGCTTCTAATGAACTGCTGGCAGCACCATCCATCATTGCACTAAATGGATTCATGTCTCCCTAAACCAAGGATAACTATTTATCTGTAATGCACAGTCAGAAATTAGGAAGTATTTAAGCCTGGGAAGTCTAATCCCTCTCTTCTCCCCACCTCCTCAAAGCTTGGTTTTATCCAGGCTTCCTTGTGTAAGGATGATTAGAAAGTTTGACTGATAGAGAACTTCAAACTGCTGCTAATGAATCATCTGAATGAGTTTGAAAAATACTTGAGCAGACCAGAAATCTGCAGTCTGATTTTAACATTACAAATACCTGACATTATATTTATCTTCTCCCTCTTTTTTTTGGTCATTTGCTGTACTGCCTTGCACCTTACCTGGAAGTAGTTACAGGCTGCTCAAAGCAAGATGGCACATTCATTAGATATAGAACAACTGAGTCCCAACAGTTGCTTAGGATCTTTGAAGATGTGCAAATAATAGAAGTGTACTGTAAACAATCAAAAGGAAGAAATGTTTTTGAGCTCTAGAGAAAGTGTGGAAGTGATGTCAGTAATCCCTGGTCAGAAGTCACCTCTGAAGGCTTGACTCATTACAGATAGCTGCTATCTGCAGAGACATATCCATGTCTCTGTCTTTAGAACAACAAGGATCAGAAAGGAATGCAGAGACATCAATAAAACAAGCCTACAAATAATAAAAGAAGACACTTACTTCATTTCCAGGACCTCCTCCAAATGTTTCCTTCTTTCAGCTCGTAGGTTGGTCAAATGGGTTTCCTTCTCAGCCAAAGACTGTTGTGTAGAGGACAATTTTGCTTTCATTGACTCCAACTCCTGTTTGACCTTCTCCATAGCCATCATCAGCTCCTCTACCTAAACATTTTTGGAGAAGACAGGAGGAGAGAAAAATTATGCAGTGTGACCAGCTGGAACTTACTGAATGTCATAGCTGAATTGGAGTACAAATGTTACCAGGGAATGGATGCTACTCAGCACTTCTGCAGGCTGGAGGCACCATCCAGTGCTGTGGACAGCATGTCTACACCTGACCAAAGCAGCATTACAGCTGGGGAGTTCACTTAGTTTGGTTACATAACCATTAAAATACAAACCTTCAACTCTTCTGTATTTCTGTTTCAGAGAATGTACCACAGGGATAAGAGGATGGCCTGCATATGTTAACGCTGACCCACAAAAATGCAAGGTATTAAATGAAACACATTGGTATCATACCAAAAGGATAAAACACTTTCACTGTAAATGCTGTCTGAAGAGAAACTACATGTGAACTTTAGGAACAAAGGTAACATTTCTGAAGCAGGGAGAGGAATAGGTTCCCACGAACATGTGAGGCTACTTCCCTCAAAATACCACTTGAACAATGCTTTTAGGCATGTGTTGGGATTTAGCAATGTAAGACATTCAAAGAGTTGCTGATGGCAGAGAAGTACAGCAGAACAATGCTCTTATCTTCAGCAAACTGGAAAGATTCAGAAACAGCATGATTATAAATTCTGCCACGTTTTACACAAATGAAGAGTAATTTTATTTTGCACTCAGAAGAGGTTCTGTCTTAGGTAGAATTTATCACTAATTAACATTTAAAATCACAATACATGCTTAAATCTAGCTACATATAGCATTCAAAAGCCTCTGGATGTGCTTTAGTAACTTTATAATAAAGCTCAATGGTGCACACTACTTTCACTGACTTCTTCCATGTAGGTTTTCTCTTTCCATCAAAAACCAAGTGTTCATAAATGATTTTATAATGTGCTTCCAATAGGAGAAAATCAGATGCCACTGCCGCACAAAATCAAGTATATGTATAAATTTAGTATGCAAACACAAGCACTACCTTGCCTTTATATCCCTCCATAACAGCCAACCTCTGATCCATCCTGGAAGTGAATTATTCAATTTACAACAAGTTCAATTTCTACGTACATGTTTTTACAAGGAGAGTTGAGTTTGTCATTTGCTATATAGGTGATGTAGGAGGGAAGTGTGTAACATGCTTTAATAAATCCTGTACTCCTAAAAGTAGAGCTAATGACTCGGGACAAACATGGATAATAAGACTGCTTTTCATCCTCAGTGGTGACAGAGCAAGAAACATTGCAACTGAGAATTAGGAAATTTATAAAAACCTAGCACGGACATTGTGCAGAGTTTACTGCAGAAAGCCTTTCTACTTCCTTCAAATGCAGCTGCCAAAAGGTAGTATTCTTATGCTTAGCAAACTAAATAAAATTAAAATATGCAATTATCATAAACTATTCAAAATGTACAGCCAAGAATTCATCTAGTAATCAATAGCCCAAAGGAGAACCTCAGTGACAAGTAGTCCAAACTGGTAAGTATGGATATAATAACCAAACTTTCCCCGTTTTATAAGTGTTTAGTGTACAAAACAAGATTAGAAAATCTGTCCATTTTTAAAACTAAGATAAAACTCCATAAAGTGAAACAGAGAAAATATATCAGAAAAGAATGTAAAGAAGTGCAGAAATAATACTACTAGGATGGAAACAGATTCTTAGAAAAACGGTGGAGTAATGAAGGTGCACTTGTACATCAGCTGCTAGGGTATCAGTCTCTGTTTCCTGTGGGTGGATCAAAAATATCTACACACACATTTTCCTTTAAACTGAGAAGAGGCACGCCAGCTATAAACCCCTGGGCTTGAACAGAAAACCACCTGGAATCAGCAAGCCCCCAGCCAACTGCAACAGTCAAAAGGGCCTGTGTCAATTTGTCAGCTGCCAAGATAAAACGACCTCTGAAGCAACATCTTCTCCATAATCAGGTTTGAAAGATTTCTGACAGGTTTCCTCCCACTGCCAGCCATCAAGGTCTGTGACGCTAACACTGAGGAGTGGTCTGCCTGATGTAGATCTGTAGTGTGACAACTCTGAGCTGTTTGGAAGACATGAGGAAACTGGAGTCTGATACCTGGGCCAAGGCTCCTAGGGAGAGGTGGCAAGGGCTAAGCTCTGCAGGAGTATCTCCCAGTAGTGCTTATTACAGGTACTTTATCTTTTTCTCATTGCTCGGTTTGATAACTCTTTTAATTCTAAGGTTATAGTTTGTATTTTTGCAGGCCAACAGAAAATTGAACTAATCATGTATTAGGTATGGCAGGAATGTGAGTAGCTTTTAAAGTGTGCCAACAACTTGTTTTACAGAACTGTCATTGCCTTCCAAGCTCCCCAGCAAGGGCCATTTGTCACACAATTTAAAGACAAAGTTCACCAAAACAGTGATGACTGTATTCACAGTAAAGACTTTGTTGTTCAGATTCATCAGGTTGTAGATAGTCCATGGGTCTATTTCAATTAAACTTCTATAAAACAAAACATTTTATTTGGCAGCTTCTGAATCTTAGTGCAGACCTATCTCAGTAAGCAGTCCTGTGAGAAATGACAGAGGAATATTCACTAGGAACAAACTACTTGCAACACACATCTAATTTAGCCTATACAAAAACCTTCATATCTACCCTTGAATTCTGTCCCCTGAGTGCAGCTGATTACACAATAAAGAAAAAATATTTGCCAAAACCAGAGCTCTTGGCACACTGAGACATTTTCAGAGATGGGCTGTTGACATTTTCAATTTAGCTGTGGGTAAGCTTGTGCCGTGTGAGTTGTAGCTAGAAAGTCTGCACCCATTTCTGAGGATGCAAAGGGTGAACCCTTGCCATTCTTTTCTCAAATGACAGCATATAAAGCAACATGTATTTTTGACTGTCTAGGACATAGCCTCAGATTCAGTTCTCTGTAGACAGGCCAGAAAAGTCTTCATGTATTCTGATAAATGGAAACTTATTTGTTCATCATTCTTAGGTCTTAAGTGACCTGGCCAGGTGACAGCTTGTCTTTAAGGAAGGACACCAAGCTGAAATAAATTTCCATTAGAGGAGAGATTTCCTGAGATATTGAACAAACTATGTGAAAGAAGGCAAATAATGTCAATTAGAACAGGATGAGATTCACAGCAGCAGAAATGGGAAATGTCAAGATAGGACAAATACTTTGCATAGTACTGCATCTCCTTCCTTAGGAAACATGAAAGCAAGGTGAAGAGAAATGACAATGCAACAGGAGAAGCTTATTTATGTCAATGACAGCCTGTAAAGAAATTATTTAATAACAAAAAACCTGAAGCTCTTTTCAGGAGCCCATCTACCATCTTAACCTCCTTGCTCCTACAGACTGTTATTTCAGCCCCCTGCAACTGCAAATCAAAATTCAGAAGGCTTTTATACAGACACAGAGATACCACTTTATCTCCAAATATGTAGTAGTTCCAGTAAAGCTTTCTGGCCAGGGACTTGCAAAGAGCTTGGTCAAGGTGTCCAAAAGCCAGTAAAAAGCCAGCAAAATTGAGAAAGGGACTGCACACACAAAGTATAACTGAGGCTGGAAATCCTTCCAACCCCTGTACTACTCTTGGAATGATTTCAGATGATCAGAATAGGCAAGCTCCAGTTCCTCACCTGTTACATGAGAACTAATGCACTGCTGAGAATTCCCAAGACACAACTGATATTTCAGGTCAGGAAGAATGCTCACATGAACTGGTGTGGTTGTTATTGTTTGCCTCTTAAAATCAGAGCCCAAAGACTCCAACACTTGAAGTCAATCCAGACAGATAACTCACTAACAGAACATCAGCATCCCCAAACACTTCAAATGTTTATATTACAGTGTAGTGGCAGCTGCCATTTTGAGCTCTCCTCAGTGATAAAGCATCACCTGAAGATAACTTTTCTACGGCACAGAACATTGGAAAAAGCTTCTCTAGCCCTCTGAGGAAGATAGTTCTAGAGCTTAATTTTCTGCTTGCACCTTTTCAGAGAAGCAGAATTCTGGGTCATGATCCAAGCCCCAAATGCATCATGAATGCTGGTAACACAATGTAATTCACCAGAGTGGGACTGTGCAACTCTAGAGAGGCAATGGCAGAGTCATCAGTCTGGGGGGAAAAAAGAACACAATGCCATACACTTGAAAAAACATTTGCAGGGGCAAAGGCTCTGTTCTGAAATGGTGACACACACAACCCATGTTTATAGGCTATGTGCATACCAAGAATGAGGAAAAGGCTAAAGATGCCCTACACAGCACAAAGGAAAACGTTCTAGTCTCAAGTGATAGGATATGAATGCATCCAAATCCACATGACTGGCATTAAAACTAGCAAATCACTGGTACACTATATAAAAAGATATTTTATGTTAGGTATGGCTTTTTGTCACCTGTAGATTATGCCTCTTTACAGAAAATATTGTTTATCTTCTTTTGGTTTTCATTTTTTCATAGAATGGTTTGGGTTGGAAGGGCCCTTCAAGTACCACCCTCCTGCCATGCCCTTCACCACATTAGGCCCCTCAAAGCTCCATGCAACACAGCCCTGAACACTTCCAGTGATGGAACATCCAAAACTTCTCAAGGCAATGTGTTCCAGTGTCTCACCATACTTATTACAGAGAACTTCTTCCCCATCTCCAGCCCAAACTTATTCTCTTTCATTTTAAAACCATTGACCCTCGTTCTGTAACTAGAGACCTTGGGGAAGAGTCTCTTTCTCTTTCAAGTCCCCTTTTTATACTTCGAGGTTGCAATGAAGTCTCTCCAGAGCCTTCCCCAGACTGAACAATTCCAATTCCCAGGGTTTCCTCACAGGAGAGGGGCTCCAGCCCTCTGATCATTTGGCCTCCTCTGGAGCTGCTCCAGCAGGTTCGTGTCCTTCCTGTGCTGGGGGCCCCAGAGCTGGATGCTCCAGGTGGGGTTTCTCCAGAGCTAAAGAGAGGGGAGAATCTTCTCCCTCAACCTTACCAGTCTGTAATTAGAAGGCTCTAAGGGCAT